TTGGAGGAGAAGCCATGGGGCAGGGGGCTGCAGCCAGGTGACCACCTGCTCCGGTGAGGTGTCACCTATTTCAGTGCTTCCATCCTCCCTCGAATGAGAGGAGAGAATAAAATGCAGGCAGTGCAGAGGAGCAGCATGGAGGTTCCTCGCCTGTGTCCAGCCCTCGTTTGAGCATCCAACACCGGACACGCCGAGAGCTCCCCCCGATTCCTCTAAGGTTGCTCAGGGATCCCCAAAGGATCCCCCGGGATCAGCAGCGGTTCCAGCCGGGAACGGATCCCAGGGAGGATCCCGGGGATGCTCAGGCCACAGGAAGGGTCACGCTGGCGTAAACCGTGGTGGGCTCCTGGGGGGGACAAAAATGGGGTCACAGAGGGGTCAGCGAGGTGGCCGGGCCGGGGGTCACCCACGGGCGGGGGTTTGGGACAGTCCCCCTTACCTGGGACAGCGGGGGGCGTCCCCGCGGGGTTGGGGACCCTGCTGGGGACCGGGGGGCTCCGTCGGGGGCCGGGGGTGGCCCGGTGGCCGCGGTGTAGATGGTGGTGCAGGACAGGGGGGTGGTGCTGGCGTCGGTCCCTTTGGGCTTCTGAGCGAGGGGACAAAGGGTGGGCAGCGACCCGAGGGTCCCAACAGGGCCACCCTGGCCCTGCCACCACCTTTTCCTGCCGGGGTTGTGCCCAGCAGGGCTCGGAAAAGGGGAAAAATCCCGGAGTTTGTCCCCAAAGCCACCGTGGGACGCTGGGGCTCAGCAAGTTGTGTCACCTGGCATTATTCCCGAGATTCCCAAATTCCGGGTGAGTGGTGCGGCAGGGATGGGTGACACCCCCAATGACACACTCTCCTTTCCACCCCCTTTTCTCTAGTTTTCCCTTTCCCTCCTTTCTTCCCCTTTTCCTCTTTTTCTCCCTTAATCCCCTTTTTGCTCTTTCTCCCCCTTTTTATATCTTCTTCCTCCCCTTTCCCCCTTTTTTTCTGTATTCGTTTCCCTTTTGTCCCCCACTTACTCTCCCCCTTTTTCCCCCTTTCCCCCCCTTTCCCCATTTTTCCCTTTTTTCCCCCTTATCCCCCTTTTTCCCCTTTTCCCCCATTTTTCCCTATTTTTCTCCCTCACCTGCACACGCTGCACCTGGTTGTAGATGGTGGCGCTGGCCGGGGTGACCTGGGAGGGGTCCGGGGTGGCCTGGGAGGGGTCTGGGTCACCTGTGGGTGGGGAGGGGTCACACAATTCTGGGATCAGCCAGGTTGGAAAAGAATTCCAAGGTCTCCCAGTCCGACCGGTGTCCAGTCCCTTCTTGGTCATCCCAAGGAATCTCCAAGAATTCCTTGGACACCTCCAGGGGTGACCACCCCAACGCTCCCTGAGCCCCTTCCAAGGCATTTTCCCTTTTCCAGGAGGGATTTCCCCAAATTTCCCACCCAGGATTGTCATCCTGCTTTTCCCAATGGGAATTTTTCCCCTTTTCCCCACAGCCTTCCTCCATCAAGAGGAAGAGGCTGGACCGAGCTTTGGTCTCGACTGCCTACTTGGAGGTAATGGAGAATCCACGGGGGTTTTTTGGGACCAAAAAATCCCCAAAATGCCCCAAATACCACCCATTTCCTTGCAGGATAACGGGGGTTACAGGTGCTTGGGCTTCCCAAATCCTGCCGACCACCAGCACCCCTAAAACCCTGGAATTCCCATCCCTGTGGAATTCTCCTGGAAACTCCAGTGGACATTGGGATCGATGGAATAAAAATAGCCAGAAATTCGGGATTCCCCCCCGCCAAGATTCAATGCTCAGCTCTGCCTTGGAGTGAAGATTTGGGGATGGAAAACTCCGGAAGGGATGGATTTGGGATTGGGAAGGCGGGATGGGTGGGGGTGGCAATTTTGTGGGGTTTTTAGGGTTTGGAAAATTTGGAATCCTGTTATTTTTTTTTTCTTGGTGAAGGGTATGAATAGGTTTGGGTTTGCCAGTCTGAGTTTCCGGCCAACACACCAATTTTGAGGTGGGTTTAGTGCTGGTCAAACCCCAGCGCTCACTGGAGTTGTTTGCTCATTTCCTGCTGTGAGATACGGATCAGGAGGTGGAGGGCAAAACAGGCTCCAAACTTTAAGGGGTATAAAAAAATATCAATTGACTGAGCTAAAATAAAAATAAAATCAGAATAAACCTTTGGAATGCTTATTCCCCACCCTCTTTTCTTTCCCACTGACAAGGTAAAGAGACAAAACCTGGCACTTTCACTCAGTTTACCAACTCAAAACAGCCTGTCTTCAGCTCTCTTGTGGAGAGCAGTCTCTCTTGCCATGCCATGGAGACTTCTCCACAAGAAACAGCTCTTTCCTGGCTTTTAATTTTAATTTCCATGAAGCAAACAAAGTTCCATGTGAGAGCTGCCCCGGCCGTGAGGATTTTGGTCGGACAGTCTCGGCCTTGTGGTCGATCTGGGTTTTGGGGCCATCTCCAGTGCTGGCCACGAGGCCACTCCTGGCACTTGTCACGGCCGCGTGGCTGCTCACTCACGGTGTTGGGACAGTCCTGGTGGCACGGCATGGCTGTGGCAGGAATCTCAGCCCAGCCTGGCCACGTGGGGCCAGTCAGTGACCTGTTCCCAGGGCAGAGGAAAGAGAGCTTTTCTTGGGCTTTGCTCATTTTTAAATCTGCTTTTCCACAGAGGCGTGTCCAGCTCCTTTCACTGGTTTAACTGGCTGTCAATCTGCAAAGCGAGCCAGCAGATTGGCTCCTCAGACCTCGCCAGAAGATTGGCTCCACCCCACAGGGAACCAACCCCGCAGCCCCCGTGCTCTCCCCCAACTAAAAACCCAACAATTGGTTAAACCACGAGGGGAGATGAGACAGAATCAGGAAAACCCCAAATCCGCCCTGAATATGCCCCAAATCTGCCCCAAATCCACCCCAAATCAGCCCCATCCTGGCTCTGTCCCCCCTGCCAGGTCCCAGCTCCTGGGATGGTTTTCCTGGGCTCCAGGCATGGTTTTCCATGCTCACCTTTGGATTTGCAGTAGAACACGAGGTAAATCGATAACAGCAACACGATTTCAACCCCAGCTACGACGCCGATCCTGATCCAGCTGCCGGAGTGGACATCTGGAAAAGGAAGAAAATCCAGGGGCAACATCAGAAAATAAACTTGGCTCTTCCTGACATTGGGGCAGAGGGAATTTGGCCTCAAATCCCACCCTGATCCCTCATTCTAGGAGATCTCACTCCAAGCCAGGGCAGAGGCAGCACTGGACAAGGATGAGGATCCCAGAATTCCCAAATTCCCCAGTTGCTGGGTTAGAAAGGAACTCTGGAGATCTCCCGGCGCTGGCAGGATGGGGTCACCCAGAGCAGGGGACACAGGGACATGGCCAGGTGGGTTTGGGTTGGCTCCTGAGGGGGACACTCCATGGGAAGAGATTCTCACATGGGGTTGGGTTTGTGGCCACCACTCCTTGTCCTGTCCTGGTACCTCTGGAAAGAGCCTGGACATTCCCAGGAAAGGGATTTTGGGAGGAGCTGGAGGGTGCTGGGCTCGGGCTCCCCAGTCGCCCTTCCTGGCTGGGCATGGAAAAGCTGCTCTGGGCACTCGGGGACATTCAGGGACACTCAGGGATTCTCAGGACATGGCTGCACATGGACAGGGGTGGCAGCTTACCTGGGCTGGGAGGTTCCATGGCGCTTGCCTGCTAGGGGAGAGAACAGGGACATGGGTCAGAGCTTTCCTCTGCATCCTGGGAAGAGCTGGTGCCTGGAGAGTGGGATCAGCCCAGCCCAACCTCAACATTCACATCTCATCCCTACCACAAATTCCATCCCCAAATCCCAGCTTTTCCTGTCTCTCAGGGGAGCAGGATCAGCCCATCCTATCTTTCCCTCCCCCTTTCCATGGCTCTCACAGGAACCGAGATCAGCCCATCCCAACCTCAACATTCCCATCCCATCCCATCCCAACCCAACCCAACCCCAAATCCCAACATTCCCTACAGGACCCCCCGCCAACGCCACAGTTCTAGAGCAGTGGGTGCTGCCCCTTCACTCCCCAATTCTGGGGGCCTCTACAGCTCCTTGGGACCCCCATCCCCCCATTGTCACCCACCCAAACTGTGCCACTGGCACCAGGCCACAATGACACCCACAACCAGGAGCAGGAAAAAAAGGGCCCCACCAACCACTGCGGCCACTGCAAGAAACCGAGGTGGACACATCAGGATCACTCCAGGGGTCCTGCACTCCCTGATGACCCTGTGTTAATCAGCCTATGTCCCTGTGTGTTCCTCGGTGTCACCTCTAGGGACAGTTCTCGGCTGAGTGCCTGTAACAGATGGTGCCCATCCAGCTGGTTGGTGGCCACGCACTGGTAGGTGCCCGAATGTCCCACATTGATGTCCCCAAGCTCCAGGAGGGCACCCCAGGCCACCTCCTGCCCGTTCTGCAGCCAGGTGAAGGTGACAGGGGCTGAGCCCACCTGCACTGAGCAGCGCAGGGTCACACTGTCACCTGCGTGCACCTGGTGTGACAGGGGACCGGGGGTGATGGTGGCATTGGCCACGGGCACTGCGGGGACACAGACAGGGCTGAGGCCACAGGGAGGGGCTGGCAGCTGGTGTGAGGGGATAGGGACAGGAGGGGGTGGGTGTGATGGGGGATGTTGTGGTTGGGGCCACATCACAGAGAAGGAAGGGGACAGAGGGTAGAGGTGGGGGGACATACAAATGTGTCTGGAAGACATGGAGGTACCCAGGCAGGGGATCCGAGGAGGCTGTGGGGGCTCCCTGTACCCAACCCCGCACTCACTGCACACCGTGACGCAGAGCCGGGCGCTGCTCTTCCACACAGCACCCACATCAGAGCGCACCCTGCAGTTTTAATTTCCAGAATGGGAGACCCCCACGCCAGGCACCAGCAGCTGCAGGAACCCCTGCAGGCCCCCCACCACCTGCATGTCCCAGTAGAACATGTGCAGGATGGGGGCTTGGGGCCACATGTGGCTGGGGATGCTGAGGCAGATGAGAGTCATGGGCAACCCCATGATGAGCTCGGGGGGACCCTCCAGCCTTGGCACCAGGAAGAGCTCAGGGAAGGAGAGGGGAGGTGAGGACTGTGACTCTGAGTCCACTGGGAAGTGGCTTTGGGGGTGTCAGGAGATTGGAGTTCCAGCTGAAGGGGATGCTCACCATGCATTGTCACTGTCACTGCTGCTGAACGTGAAATAAAGGACCCCACCAAGCCCCTGCAGCTGTAGCGGCCACTGTGGTTCAGCTGCAGAGGGGACAGGGACAGCTCGGTCGCATTGATGGACCCCATCAGATTATTCTCATCCCGGTAAAATTGCACCTTGGTGACTGTGCTGTTCCCCTGGCCCCGGCAGCGCAGCGTCACCGTGTCCCCCTCCAGCAGTGTCCGTGCTGGCACCTGCAGAACCAGCTCATCTGTGGGACAGGAGGGTGCCATCACACTGAAGGGTTCGGCACAGGTCTGAGGTGGGTCCCAATGGCACCAGAGACATCTGGGTGCACTGGGATGCACTGGGATGTCCCTGTGTGCAGGGCACAGGCTCTCGCCACAGGAGAGGTGTCAGGCCACCCATGGAGTGGAGCCCAACCACATTTATCAGGGACTACTTTGATCATTTAAGAACCCCCCTCACCATCTAAGATGCTCACAGGGGGGCTCAGCCCACTGCCGGGTCTGTCACACGTGTAGGTGCCGCTCTCGGTCACAGTGAGGTGGTCCTTTTCCTCCTGCCCCCAGTGCTGCCCATCCCTGTACCAGGTGGTGGCATCAGCAGTCCCTGAGCCTTGGCAGGTCAGTGTCACCCGGTCCCACAGCACCGCCGGCCTCCAGGGGGGCTCCACGAGGAGCTGGGTGGTCTGGGTGCCTACAGGTAATACGATAAACCAGAGTGCCTGGCCCCCAGCGCTCCCCGTCCTTGTACCAGGTGGTGACATCAGCGGTCCCCAAGCCCTGGCAGGTCAGTGTCACCCAGTCCCACATCACTGCAGGCCTCCAGGAGGTCTCCACCAGAAGCTGTGTGGTCTGGGCACCTGCAGGTGACACCATACACCAGCCTGCCTGGGCCGGCGTGGGGCTCGGGACAGCGGGGTGGGGACATGGCATCCCCTGAGGACTCACCAGTGAGGCCGAGGGTCTGGGCTGGAAGGGAGAAGGAACAGGACTCAGTGAGGGTGGCATTGTGGGGACAGCAGCACCCAGGCATCTGGGTGTGAGGGCTGTCTCCAAACTGTCCCCATGGGGACACCACTTCGTGTGAGAAAGTGTGTCTGGGTGCTCCCCCAAAGATTTGGTGAGGTGGGGGGACATGTCTGTGTCACAGTCACCTATGAACCACATCCGTGTGGCACAGACACCTTGGGAACAGAGACATCGAGGCCACCCTGGGCTGAGGCATAACATGGGAACACCCCAGGCACGAGGACACCACAGACACAGCCCGTGCGGGCCCAGGTCACCTCCACCAGCTCATGATCACCTCCCCATGATCCCATCCCCATGGCTACATCCTCATGGTTCTTGTCCCCTTCTGTCCCAGCATCCCAGTTCCCTTGTCCCTGTCCCCAGAGCTACCTGAGCCCAAAGGTGCCAGTCCCCACATTCCTGTCCCTACATCCTCATCCCCAAATTCTTGCCCCCTGTTCCTATCCCCAAAGCTTAGCTACATCCCCAGTCCCACCAAGGTCCAGTGTGGGTAACATGGACTGGCACTGCTGGCATTGGGGACAGCAGGGGACCCCGCAGTCCCCTGTGCCCCCTCCCCTCCCTATGCCCAGGGTGTCAGGACCTTGCCTGGGGCACTCACCCCACAGGAGCAGTGCCACCTTCCCGGACATGCCAGTGTCCCCAGCCATGTGCACTGGCTGTCACTCGCTGCTGTGGCCACCGCTCCCCTGGCTGGCAGCTCTTCAGATGAAGGAGAAGGAAGCGAGGTCACGTCCGTCTCCATGTGTCGGTGGCCCTTGGTGGGGGCAGGGTGGCCACAAGCTGGGCACAGACTGGGGACAAGGGTCCGTGGGACGAAGTGGGAAATGGGGTTCCCAGGAGTTGGGGACTTGGTGGGTTTGGGGAGCTAGGGATGGGTGTCCAGGGAAATGGGGCATCCCCGGGATGGGGTCCCTGGGGAATGGGGGTCCTGAGGAGTGGGAGTCACCTGGGATGGGAGTGCCATGGAAATGGGGGTGCCCAGGGCTGGGGGGACTCAAGGATGAGCGTCCCAGGGGAACGTGGGCTCCAGGGATTTGGGGTCATGGCATGGGTGTGCCAAGGATGGCAATGCTGCAGGAATGGGGATCCCATGGGAATGGGGTTCCTGAGAGAATCAAGGTCCTGGGGGAGAGAGGATTGCAGGGGTTGGCATGAATGGGAGAGGGTTCCTTGGGAATGGGGTCCTGGGCCATGGAGTTCCTGGGGAATGTCCTTCCAGGGATGGAGTGATATAAGGAATGGGGGTTCCCCAGTTGGGTTTCCAGGGGAATGGGTGTGCAAGGGATGGGCAGTTGCTGGATGGGCACAGCGGTCTCAGCTCCTTCCCTGGGTGCCTCAGATTTTGGGGTGATCCAGGGCACAGCGCTACTGCCTGGGGTGCTTGTTTCCTGTGCAGCCATCACATGGGGGTCCTCCGTAGCTCTGCCTCTGTGCCCTCCCCTGCCCTTGACTTTTTCCTCTCTTTATATCTCTTTTGTCCTTATTTTCCTCACTTTTGTGCCTTGTCCCCTCACACGTGGTTTCTGGCTCAGCAATCCCAGGGAGTACCTGAGCAGGGAATGGGTTGGGGGAGCCAGGGGATGGGGAAAATGGGCAGTGGGGGATGCAGGGAGGCTCTGGGGGATGAGGGTATTGGGCTATGAGCGCTCAGCACATTCACTTTCTTTTTCCTGGAAAAGACACAAAAAAGACCGTTTGTGCTGAGAGTCAGAAGCAAAAGTGTGGGGGGGGGGTTCTGTCCTGCAGGGCACACCAGGGGGGTCCTGTCCTAGGGGGATCCTGTCCCAGGGGGTGACAAATCCTGGTATGGGGGGGTCCTATCTCCGGGGGGAGGGTGATTCCTGCCAAAATTTCTCATTTCTTTGGGATTTGTTTGTGGATTTTTTGGAAGAGCAACAATTAAAAGAATTTTATAAATCAGAGCATTTTACACATTATCATTTTTATTTTTGATGAGTTTGTTTATGGGAAAAAAATTGTGTGGATAAGGTTTTTTTCCTTTTTCTCTATGGATGAATAATTTTGTCTCAACCAATTGGGCATCAAGTGTTGCCTGGGATGGCTGATCCAGAAAATGGAGGGACCTGACCCAGGGGTGTTGGGACACGGAGACAGAGACTCCCAGAACAGCCCAGGGGTGCCCCAGGGATTTTGGATCACCCCAAAATCTGAGGCGCCCCGTGAAGGAGCTGTGACCCCCGTGCCCACCCAGCCACTGCCCATCCCTGGCACACCCATTCCCCTGGGAGCCCAACCTTGGGACCCCCATTGCCATGGTCTCTCCTCCCTGGGGACCCCCACCCCAGCATTTGCCATTGCCCAGGACAACCATTGCCTTGATCCCATCCCATGAGCTGCTTCTTCCACAGAACCCCCATTCCCGAGGGTCCCCTTTTTCACCTGCACCCCCAAACCTGGCACTCACATGCCATGAACCCAAATCCCTTAGGACCATGTTTCCACATCACCCCCATCCCTGAATACCCCCAGGCATGGAGACCCCAATTCCCTGGACCCCCATTCTCCTGGACACCCATTCTTGGTTCCCCACATCCCCTGAGCGCCCCACTCCTGCACACAGCATCCCCACCATGTCTCCAGACTATCCCATCATATCCCCAGTCTGTGCCCACCTTGTGGCCACCCTGCCCCCACCAAGGGCCAACAACACATGGGGACAAGACGTGACCTCGCTTCGTCTGTGCCCACCTTGTGGCCACCCTGCACCCACCAAGGGCCAACAACACATGGGGACGGACGTGACCTCGCTTCCTTCTCCTTCATCCAAAGAGCTACCAGCCAGGGGAGCGGTGGCCACAGCAGCGAGTGACAGCCAGTCCACATGGCTGGGGACAGCGGGATGGCCGGGAAGGTGGCGCTGCTCCTGTGGGGTGAGTGCCCCGGGCAGGGGCCTGAAAGCCCAGGGATGGGGAGGGGAGGGGACACAGGGGGGCTGCGGGGTGACCTGAGGTCCCCAAGGCCAGCAGGGCATGGAGCCCAGTGTGAGCAGAGTTGTGGGGTGACTCTGGGGACAGGAATTGGGGACAGGGAGTGGAACTGGGATGTGGGGACAGGAACAGGAGGATGGAGATGTGGGGACAAGGATGTGAGAGAAGGAACCTTGGGGCTGGGGCAGCTGTGGGGACAGGGACACAGGGATGCTGGGACAAGGACAAGGGGACAAGCTGGTAGGGGTGACCTGAGCCAGCACGTGGTCCCCATGCCTGAGCATGGCTTGGCTGCTGTGTCCCTGTCCTCGAGGCATCTGTGCCACACCCGTGTCCCCACAGAGACCTTGTGGGGACAGCCCCCACACCCCGTGTCCCCCTGCTGCTGTCCCTGCAGTGCCACCCTCACTGAGCCCTGTCCCTTCTCCCTTCCAGCCCAGACCCTCGGCCTCACTGGTGAGTCCTCGGGTGATGCCATGGCCCCACCCCACTGTCCCCAGCCCCGTGCTGGCCCTGGCAGCCTGGTGTCCCCTGGCAGGCTGGTGTCCCCTGGCAGGCTGGTGTCCCCTGTCAGCCGCAGGCACCCAGACCACCCAGATCCTGGTGGAGCCCCCCTGGAGGCCGGCGGTGCTGTGGGACCGGGTGACACTGACCTGCCAGGGCTCAGGGACAGCCGGTGCCACCACCTGGTACAAGGACGGGCAGCGCTGGGGGCAGCACAGACGCGACCACTTCAAGGTCACCGATAGTGGCACCTACCAATGTTACAGGCCCGGCAACGGGTTCAGCCCCTCCATGAGTGTCTTAGATGGTGAGTTGGGATCTTAAATGATCAGGGTGGCCCCTGACAACTCTGGGTGGGCTCTGCTCCGTGGGTGGTCTCACATCCCTCCTGTGGTGAGAGCCCTGCACACAGGGACATCCCAGTGCACTCCAGTGCACACAGATGTCCCCAATGCCACGGGGACCCACCTCGGACCTCTCTCGAGCCCCTCAATGAGATGGGACCCTCCTGTCCCACAGATCCGCTGGTGCTGCAGGTGCCAGCATAGGCACTGGTGGAGGGGGACACGGTGACACTGCACTGCCGGTGCCGGCAGGACAACCCGGTCACCAGGGTGCGATTTTACAGCGACGTGAAGGATCTGGGGGAGTCCCTCACGGGGACCAAGCTGTCCCTGTCCCCCCTGCAGCTGAATCACAGTGGCATCTACCGCTGCAGGGGCTGGGTGGGCTCAGGAATATCACAGTCACCACCAGTGAGAGTGAAAGTGCACGGTGAGCACCCCACAGCTGGAACTCCAATCTCCTGACACCCCCAAAGCCACTTCCCAGTGGACTCAGAGTCACAGTCCTCACCTCCCCTCTCCTTCCCTGAGCTCTTCCCAGTGCCGGAGCTGGAGGGTCACCCTGAGCCCACCGAGGGGTCCCCCGTGACACTCAGCCCCCAGCAGCCCCGAGCCCCACTCCTGCACGTGTTCTACTGGGACAGGCAGGTGGTGGGGGTCCTGCAGGGGTCCCGCAGCTGCTGGTGCCCGCCATGGGGGTCTCCCACTCGGGGCATTACAGCTGCCAGGTGCACTCCGAGGGGGGGAACCTGAGGAAGAGCAGCGCCCAGCTCTGCGTCACGGTGCGCAGTGAGTGCGGGGATGGGCACGGGGAGAGCCCAGAGACCCCCGGGAGTCACTGTCTGGGTATGTCCATGTGCTCCAGACACGTCTACTGGGTCCCCCAGTATCTGCCCTGTGTCCCCTCGCCCTCTGTGGTGTGACACCAGCCCTGATATCCTCCGTCACACCAAAACCCCCATATCCATATACCCCCTCCCCTCACACCGGCTGCCAGCCCCTCCCTGTGGCCTCAGCCCTGTCTGTGTCCCTACAGTGCCCGTGGCCAATGCCACCATCACCCCTGGTCCACTGGCACACCAGGTGCAAGCAGGTGACAACGTGACCCTGCGCTGCTCGGTGCAGGTGGGCTCAGCCCCTGTCACCTTCACCTGGCTGCACAACGGGCAGGAGGTGGCCTGGGGTCCCCTCCTGGAGCTTGGTGACATCAATGTGGGACATTTGGGCACCTACCAGTGCGTGGCCACCAACCAGCTGGGACAGGACGGGCACCGCGTGTTCCGGGCACTCAGCCCAGAGCTGGCACTGGAGGTGACACCTGGCTCACCCTGGATCACAGGTGGGGTCACACGGGGCCACCAGGGAATGCAGGACCCCTGGGGTGATGGGTGACCCTGATGTGTCCCTCTCTGTTTCTTGCAGTGGCCGAAGGGGTCAGACGGGCCTTTTTGTTGCTGCTCCTGCTCGTGGGTGTCATTGTGGCCTGGCACCGCTGGCACCGTGTGGGTGGGTGACAATGGGGGGATGGGGGTCCCAGGGCAGCACTCACAGCCCCAGGACTGTGACCTTGTCTGGGGATCCTGCAGGGATTGGGGAGGTGCTGGAGGGTCCTGCAGGGATGTTGGGGGCTCTTTCAGGTTCCCTGGGCGTGTTTGGTGGGATCTCTGTCTCTGCCGGGCTTTGGGTTCTTGAGGCAGAATTGCTTGGGGGGCACTGGGGATGTTCATGAATTCTGGGAAGCTTTAGGGATGCTTTGGCCTTCTGTGGAAAAAGGAGGGTCCCGTTGGGGTTCAGGAATCCTGAGAGGGTTCAGGGCCTTGGGACCCCACAGTCACCCCTCCCCTCTTTCCT